TACCAACGACATATCAAACAGCGCAGTAGCAGGGCACGAAAAGTCAAAGCAAAGTACATTTTTCCAACCCGGCTCCTGCTGGAGCGTCGGTAAAGCTACATTGAGTGATATGATGGTGCATTGAAAGCTTTAGTGTCTCTGCAAGCTCACGTCTTTCCAGGCCTGGGCTGTTTTGTGGCAGTAACATTTCTCTGTTGTGTCATAGCGTGTGCTTGTACCAAGTGGGCTTTGTCCCTCTCACACGGAGCCTGCTTTCACGCTAACTGGAACTACCTATTTTTGACCGAGCTAGAGCGAGTTAGCCCCCAAAATACCTAGTCGCGGTCATGGTTCGCAATACGCCTACTTGGGGCACAAGTCCGTGGAGCTTGAGCCAAGCCATGGCTAGAGCTTAGCAAAGCCAAGGCACGGCTGGCTCTTGGTGCCCCGACGGTATGGGAGCTGCGCGCAACGGGTGTCACTTTAGCAGAGGCTATGGTTGTACAACCGTACCGACGCGGAGTCCCAGCTTTCAGCTTCACATCATGTGCATCTTGAGGGTCAGAAATCTTGAGGTTCAGCATAGCGCAAAAATGTGCGAGTTCGTTGGATGCGCAGGTGGTTGCGGGAGAGGTGCTCAGAACAGCGCCTCAGAAAGCATTGGCCTGGACATCTTGCAACCCCGAGTTGTGCACCCCCAACATTCTGCAGCTGCTCTGCGAAGGCAGGACCGTCTCATTGCAATTATTGTTCCATTCGCAGCCCCCTGCTCCGCTGTTGCAAAGCGCTCAGGTTCCCTTGGCCAACGCGACATCGTTGACTGCAACGAGTCTCAGCGCAACCCTTCTTGAGGAAATCTTCCGCAGGCCTTGCCGAGCCGTTTTGAGCAGTGGCCTCCCACCGGTATTTTTCTATTTCTGGTCCTAGCACCATTTGCAACCATCATGTTCTCATCGCTGCATATAAATACAATTGTAAATAGGAGGCGTCAGTGAGTGAGTGCCGAGCTGAACGGTGCAGGCCCCACGCCTATTCGTTGACAGCGCCACAGCTGCAGAAAGCTGACCTGATCACTGGATGGCTTGAGGCATTGGAACTGGGGAAGAATTGCAGCAGCAATGATCACCATGCTCATTTACATCGATGGTTGCAGGCCTTAAACGGTAGTCCGAACATTTCGCAAAACCTGCAGTGGCTTTACGCTACACCCGGATCCTAACACGAAGGGTCCTTAGACCTCTTCGCTACACAATGGACTGTGTTCTTTACACCAAATCCAAGGTGTGGGCTCGATCCTTGAGCTACGAGGCACCGCCTGGAAGCGCTTGGCAACTTGACATCTTCGATGCCACACCCCTCCCTGCGTCTCTGGCGCAACAAGGTCGAAATCCCGAGTAATAAGGGTGCAATGGCAGCAGAAACCACAACAGTAACGGCAGTAGTCGTGGTTGTTGCCTCGGTAGTAGTGGCACTGCGATGCCGCGTTTGTGGTGGTGTTGGTTCTGTGGTGGGTTCAAGTTTTCAGCAAGCAGCAGTCAGTAGTTTCAGCCAGTTGCCTCCAAGGTGGCCACAAGCGATGCTGGCTTCAGCTTGCCAATGACAGGTGCCCTTGAAAGTGTTGGGATGCTGCAGAGAAGGGCAAGAGTTGTCACCTGGAGGCGAAGGCGGCATGCTCTCATTCATGCAGATGCGCTATCCAAATTGCAGACCATCACGGACACTATTAATTTCAATGGGAAAGGAGCCATTCTCATCCTCATCATCAGAGCAAGCATAGAAGCAACAGCAGTTGCGCCATCGTGAAGGTATTCCTGATGCCTCAAAGGCTAGACTCCAAGGATTGGAAAGAATGGTGGCGGCATCAATGCTGATTAGTCTTCATTCTGTATAACCCCATTATCGTAGTTTCCATTTTATTTTCCATTATCCCTATATAACCCCAATATTATAGTAGTTTCCATTTTCTTTTCCATTATCCCTATATAACCCTATATTATCCCAACCCTATGGCCCTTTGCCTCTGCAGGTGCCTGGCCTCTACCTCCTTTATCATTGCAGCTTTCGATGGGCAGCCCGCCACCTGGCGGCCGCACCTATGCGCGATTGGTGCTGCAGCCCTGGCTACTAGGAAGAAAATGGTAGTTCTGGCAACCATCTTGAAACTTCGCGGGGCGAGGACGACATGCAACCGTACTCTGTGTTATAAAATTCCTCTCCAGGATTCTGACTTGAATTTCCAATTTTGCTCCCCAACCTCGAGACCCTAAGCCCAAGGCTTTGTGCCCCTTTCCACGCCCAGTGCCATGCAACTTACCTTTGGTGAGCTGGGAATGAAGGAATGGAAAGGAAAATTGAAACTGTTAAAATGTGGTATCCAGGGCCACTATAAGGATCCATTCCTTCACTCCTAGCTAGAACTACAGTCTAAAGTCCCCCTCTTAATAACCCCTATACTAGTCCCTTATAGAATCTCCTTATATATCCCATTAAGCCTACAGCAAGTACCACAGGCTTCTGAAGGCTTGGTTGCTGGTGCTGCCGCCACCTGGCTGGCTTCTGCCAGGAGCCTCGATGGCCCAGGAGACCCTGGAGTTTTAGAGTTCATAGGGTTTAGGGTTTAGGGTTTCAGGGCCCATAGGGTTTAGGGTCTTTGGGGTTTGGGGTCTATATGGTTTAGGGCCAATACGGATGTGGGTTTAGCACTCGGGGGTCAGGGTTAAGGAGTTAGGGTGCATGGCATGCGGACAGCTCTAAAGTGCCAGACTTGAAAAATTGCCCAAGTCCCCATGCTGGGCAGATTCAACCTACATCCACCATACTCTTCATATACATCGTAACAGATTTTCGAATGCCGAACAACTTTAACTGCATGGGCAACCCGTCAAACAGAACCCACGCCACCTTGAAGAAAGACGCTAAAGATCCCTCCAATCCACATATCCCAAGGATCCACGGAAATACCAAAGAATGTTAGACATCCCAGAAGAAATTCGCCGCGAAGGATGGCAGAGTCCTTGCTTCGCTGGGATTTCAGGACCTCACCACCAGCGGCTGGGAGGTCGTTTGTCTTAAGTCTACTGTGGAAGCTTGAATGCTGAGTTACACTCCCCCCTTATCCTCCACTACTATACTCCCATAAGCCCCAGACCGCAGAATCACCTTTTCGAAGCAGGAAGTGTACCTGACAGGTGGTATTTGGCAAAGCTTTGGGGAAGTGCCCGAAGAAAGGTCATGTCTTATTGTGACTGACAGCAGGCCTCTGCATCATGAGTATGGTTATGGTGTTTTGCGCAGGTACGTGTTTTGGAGCAACAGGAAAAGTACGTGCTTTGGAGCAGCAGGGAAAACTGCGAAGATCATCCTGGGTAATCTTTATGTGGGATTTCCAGCTGTCATCAACTGATGTGGTATCTACCCTTTCCGTTGTCGCTCTCATGGAGATCCCCGGACCACCCCAAACCCCAACATGAACGCAACCACTTGGATGTTGTTGAGGGGTAGCTGCCAAAGAGCAGCTATTGCCTGACATTCGTGTCAAGCTGAAGCAAAGAGCCTCCAAAGAATCATGTCAGGTGGATCTGCAAGTGGCCGCGTCATTGGACCGTCTTTTTTGTTTTTGGTGCTTGCGTGGAAGGATGTCCCTGAGTTAGTGGCATATAAACTTGTGCGAAGCTTAATGCAAGATTACAATAGATGAAAAAGGGCGAAGTTTACGTATTCCTGCAGTACTGATCAGGGAAGGGGTGCCACTGCTCCGGTCGACGCACACGCCTCTTTTTGCATTCGATGATTCCACCGGCATTGAGCATTTGTGTTCGATGTCTACTGTTCACGCCTGCGAAGTGCTCATGCTACCTTGTCAAAGCTGTTTTGCATCCTGAGCCAGGACACGACCACAGATACAGCTTGGTTCGTTTTAGCTCGGGAGCAGCCACTACAAGAGGGAGAAGCCCTCAATGCTCAATCGTGGGGCTACGTGGACGGCGCCAACGTTGCGCCCATGTGGGGCAGCGTGAGTCATGCAGCCTTGGCTGAGTCATAGCATCAACGTTGATTGGTCCCACAGCTTGGCCTTGAAAACAGGATCCACTTTGAAAAGATTGGATTTGCACATGAAACACGTGTCTTTCTGAAGGCCAACTTGGCGGGACAAAATCTGACAGCGCTGGTCTTCACAATGCGCTTGGACCCAGAGTCCCAAGTTGGGATTATCCGCATCACTCCGCCTGAAGGCTGCGGCCTAGGGTTCTCAAACTGAGAGAAAAGCGATCTTCCTAGCATCTTCCAGTTCAATCCAGTGCCCCCACTTGCATGGTTTTGACATCCTTCAATTGAGGTATCATCTGTCACTCCACACCTATCCAAGAAACACACCATAATTTCTACAACCTCTTCTGTGTTGTTTTGCTCCTGCAGGGTCTGGGAATACTCCGCCTAGCCAGGCTACGGCCAGCCCTCCTGTCAAGATGCGGCCAGAGACGTCCGTGGCCCGCCGCGTTGGCCTATGCGCCTTGAGCAATGCACTGAGCATCTTCAACTTGGACTCCCATTTAGGGAAATTGATTGTGCTTTCCAACAACAGTTGGACCATAAAGCCGCAGCAAGAGTAGTTGTTGTTGTGGTTATAGCAGTAGTAGCAGGAGCGTTAGGAGGAGCAGCACTGGTGGTAGCCGTCGTCACAGCAGCAGTAGCAGTTCCTGTTGTTCTTGTTGTTCGTAGCAAAAACTACCTTTCCTCAGGGTACAATGTATCTGAAAGCCAAGGACTTTGAGAAGGTTTGGCCCCTATTGTGAGGAGTCCGCTGCTTGGCTAGCAATGTATGTTCGAAGGGTAGGGCGGGAGCCAGTTGAGTCCAGATCCCAACAGGAACCACAAAATGATCCCACAGATTTTCGGACTTCAACCTGCTCACTGGGTTCACCTAACCCTCCAACTACCACGGAATTCGAAAGTCATTTTGGGGATTACAAGTATAGGATTTCTGCTAAGAAGCTTTTCGTTTCCAACCTTGGACCACTTAGGAAAACGCCTCCTTCACGGAAGTTTTGCTGAATCCTCCATTGCCCGGGGGCTCCTGGGCCTTCGCCTTGGCAATCCCGCTCCCCGACGCATCGGAGAACCCTCGCTTCCGCGTCGAGGTCTTCACCACCGAGAGGCCAAGAGCAAAAGAATGCATCATCATGCATAATCGCGAGACTCGTCAAATGATGACAGCAACGGTCATTGCAGTTGTAATCCAAATAAGCATGTTTCCGAGCAGAACTGAAAAGCTTAGCTACAAAGAGTGCCACAACAAGAGCAACAACGGCACTAGGACAAGATGCTGCCAGGAGTTTGGTGGATGCTGCCACATCCTTGGCCGCCCCGGATCTGCTAAGCCCGGAAGTGTGGCCAGTGGTCGCTCCGGAACTGCGTCTTTGATGCGCGTCAGGTGTGTCCAGGTGTGTCTGGGGGTTGCCTAAGTTCATGGATCTCGTTTTGGGAATTCCTTTTTGTCAGGCGATTTTGGGGCCTATGCGGAAGGCTTATACCCTGCAGAATACCCAGACGGGAAATGTAGCTTGCTAAATGGTGAAGCAGGGCTTGTCTAGCTACAAGGCAGGAAGGCCAATCGCGTTCCTGCCAGCATGCTGAACATTTGCGAAATTACAACGATGGGGGTATGAACAGATTGTCCCCGGCAGTCCATCAGGATGGCACCAGGATGAAGGGAGATTCTCAATGGTTTGAAAAGTTGTGAGAAAAAGCATTTGCTTTGGGAAGTGAAACTTCCAATCTTTTTGGCGAGAGCTGATGAGATGATTTCCAAAAAGGATTTTTTTCTTGTGTAGTATCGACCGCCCTCACTTCATGTATATCTTGGGCCCCAAACTTCACCCGACTGTGAAGCTCGAATAAACAAGCCATGGCCCTAGCGCACTTCCTCGTGCTTGCAAGGATCTTGCGCAGTCGCGATGCAGCTTCAACACGGCTGGTCCTGGAGGTTGCTTTCCGCTTCGAACAGAACCTGGGATTTATTTGGCTTGGAGCTTGGGGATTCCAGGCATTTGTATGGTGGCGCGACTGTTCGGGGCACCAGAACCGGGGACTCGCGATGCAGGTTCTCAGTTCTTCCTGAAAGTAATTTGGTACCATGATTGCAGCTGGCAGATCTCAGTTGGCAATCCACTTAAAGCTCAAAGATAAAGCAGCTCCACATCCTCCCAAGACAAGCCCCCCTCACCTGCACAAACAGGATGGGTGCGGATCCTGCGGATTTCTACCAATCGCATCATCCCCCTGGCTACAGCCTGCCTGTTCTGTTCGTGTAGGTTTTGTAGCAGCCCAACGCAACAGCAAAATTTGCCAGCAGAGGCAATCAAAAGTCTTTGTATTCCTCACAATAAATTTCAGAAGCTTGTAAAATCGCGGAAGTGCACCAGACAAACATGCAAAAAACAAAAGCAACGTTGAAACTAACTGAACGGAACATGCAGAGCAGTGGTTGCACAGGATGATGACAGTTGAGACTGGTATCATCGAAGCCCTCCGTTTGCTGCCACCTACCGGTGTACAGTATGACGAGGAGAGGTGACACATCTGGGCTTGGAACTGCATTCAAAGCGTTTGATGCATCTGATTTGTTGTTTCCAGTTCATTCTCCCTTCTCTTGTCGGTTTCATTAAACCCGTCTTGCGGCCAATTGCCGCTTTTAGATCTACTCCGCTCTGCTTGCCTGAGCCCGCAGGAGTTTTCTCTGACCGTTGAGGGCCTACCGCTTGCCCGTGGTAGCCCGACAGTGGCATCTTCGCAGGCACGCTTTGAGCGAAATTCTTTTCGAATCGTCTTCTAAGTTCTAAACATATTATACAACAGTTTACTGATGAAAGCTTTAGGTGCTGATGTTCACTGCATGAGCTACCACAGCCATGCTTCAGGCCCTCATTACCTTGATGGCCACGTCGACAGTGACGCCAGGCGATGTGAGCATTCGCTGCGGAGTCAAACTATCAGGGGAGCCGGCAGACAATGTTTGGTCTCACGGCCGCATGTCGGTTCAGGGGTTCGTGCTGTGATTCAGCAGACGCAGAATCAGATGAACAGCATTTGCAAAAATCTTCAGATTTTGCCTCAGCTACTAAGGATGCTGGATGTGTGCCCTCAAATCACATGCTCCGGTGACTTGGCATACCTCCTCAGGATGCATGTCTATGATACTCAGATACCTCACAGGGAACCGTAAAGCGAATGCTGGCTTGTGCCTGCAGTCTTTGAAATTCGGTTCCCCAATTCCGATCGAGTACAGGCAGAAGTGACGCGACCTAACAGGACCTAACATCCCAGAGCATACCGGAGAGATGCAAATGCTCAGAATGTAGGCCGCTGTGATTAAACCTAACCACCAACCCAAACCTAAAACCACTCAAATTCCTTGGGGGTTGCAGTTTCAACGATTGTGAGGCATCCAGGTACTTCGCTTCCCTTTACCTGGCCCAAGTGAAAACGAGGAGCTCAGGGGTTCTCTCCAGCATTTGGTTGGTTGAGGGTTGAGGGCATCAAAATTTGATTTAATGACTGCTTTAGGAGACTGGCTCTTAAACCCATGTTGAAGGGTCTTTCGGTCTTTCTCGGGCTCAGTAGGCTACAGGGACGAAGTGTTTACCAAATACTCCTCAGATTCCTGTTCAAGACCTTAGAATGTTCAGGCGAAAAGCGCCAACGCTGAAACCCTAACTCACAAAAGCTGCCTGAACCCTTGAACGCAGAAATCCTTTGCAACCACTACAGTCCTGGCCCTTCAGGCCCTGAATCCACAGAGCGCAGTTACCTCGCAGGAGGCTATCCCGGATGTTGAAGTCGGGAACTGCAGACGAGCCCAGCTGACCTGGGCCATACTGCTATTTCCGGGGTTTGGGGTAACTTAGCAGGTGGTATGGTCGACTACAGGACTTGATACTCTACTTATCGATTCCCTCTTCGACCTCCATGTACGGGTGACCTTGCTGTGCTCTGGCACGCAGCATCTTGAGAGTGCAGCAGTCATTTTTTATATTTGGGGAAATTTAGTTGAATTTAGTTGGGAGACGAGAGTTAGCCTTCAATACCCTTTGGAAAGAAGAAGACTGAAGGCAAGCTCACCTGCGCAAAAATGGGCTTGCCAGCAACGAGCTCAGACCAGCGATTGGCAGCATCAGGAAGTGCCACATGTCCAAGTGGAGTCGCTCACTGGAGCATTGAGATCGTCTGGAAATCCAGCAGTGACTGCCAAGCACTTTGCAAAGATCTGGACGGGACCATCAAGGTCCCATGACGGATCATGACCCTCGCATGAGGCGTCTGAAGGAAGGACCAGGAAGGTGGATCCACGCGGTCGACAACTTTGAGCCTGCTGGCCATTCTCTAGCGTCGACATCATGAGATGCATTACAACTGCATCTTTTTGACTTTGGTTTGATGCGCTACATCTTTGTAGAGTTCAGGCTTAGCGGCTTGCACAGGGCCACTTCTGGCTTCGGCCAGCCTTGTTTGATGATACGGGAGATGATGCAAGCAAAACATGGCTTGCCAAAGGCTGGACGCATCTCTTGCCCAGAGAAAAAGGGCAGAATTGGTTAAGATCCGCGCTTCGTTCAAATGTGCTTGCGCGGACCTGGTCGTAACATGAAATGGTGCAGGCATGGCTCTACATGCAGCGTTTCGGCACACAGCCCATGCCCCACCCCACCCACACCCTAACCCCCTGCCTGTAGTCGAGCCTGCCTTCCGGTCCTCTGTTGCATAGGTCTGTAGCAGGCACCAAACAGCTTGTGGCTCCTCCACAACTGCAACATTTGTCCAACAAAGTGTTTGAGATGCTTGCATTGGTGCTGTTGCTGCAGGCAGGCTGCTAGACCGAGCTCGTAGCCTTAGATAGTCAGATAGCTGAAGTTTGACAGGTCGCAGGTAGCCTGGGCGTCATGGAGGAGACTCATCATTGTCACACCTACTACTTTCTGGTGTTAGTACTTTGACAAGAACGATTCTCATCACCGCAAGATCATGATGAAGCATGTCATTTGGCTTCTAACTGCTTTGCTGCCGGAGGAGAGAAGCTATGAGCACTTCGGCCTCTTGAACGAGCTGCGAGCAGTGCCTTGGTCACCGACACAGGGAACCGTGATTTGTTGTTCCTGGCTTGCCCATCTTCTGACAACAAGTGCCGTTTTTTGTGAAGCAGGCCTCGCTCTGATATGATTATGTGCCCTATGCAGCAAAGGCTGGCTACACCTGTCCAGGGGGCTCATCCTATGCCCCAAATGACGTGCCGTTGAAGTTCGACTGTCGTTTGTGGAAGGCATCTCAGCTCCACTCGCAGGCACACTGTAGAGTGCAGAGCAGACTTCTGTCCAGATTGGGCTTCCTCCATTTGCAACAGGGCCTCGGGCTTATCATCCTTACAATCATTCAGTGTTGGCGCCAGCCAAAACGCCCATTCGATTCCACGTTCCTGTGGCATTTCCGCAGCCTTACTCCTTCCCTTCTTGCAAGACAGCATACCCAGTACTATATTGATCCTCGCTGGACAGGACATGGCAGACAATGGCTACTTCTCCCACACGAGCCAAGATGGCAGAAGCCCTTGGGACAGAGCAGAGGCTCAGGGAATTAGATGCTCGGGTTGCAAAATTTATAGCAAGTCTTACACCAAAGCCCGCTTTTGTGAAAAAAGCTCATGATTTGGAGAAGCCCTGAAATAAGCATCTCTAAGGGGCGAATGGTGAAAACATAGCGGCCGGGCGGAGTGGCGCTGCATCTGTCTTGGATCAGTGGAAGAATTCAGATGGGCACTGCAGCTCGCCCATTTTGACATCATTAGAGGTTTTGTTTGAGGGGTCCTAGTCTTACTCAGTTTCTTGGGGGGGGAGGAGGAATTGTGGAGGACGCTTTTGTTGAGACTTGAGAGCGTGCCTTTGCTGTCTGTGCAACCGAGGCAAGAACATGATGAATCCGAATTTCAAGGTTTTTGCAGTAGGCCCATCTCCGCTGATGTCTTGCAGGCTTGAGGGTGCTGAGCCACTTCCTTTGCCATCCGGTCAGGCTATGCCTATAATTCAGAGTCACGGTACCGGCATTACTGGACACAGATGCTCAAGAGCTCAGATGTCTCTGACCTGGATACTTCCTGCTACATCACGGCAGCAACGACGAGCTCTGCAACAACCACTACAACCGTCGCTGTCACCACCACTACAACTACTACCACTACCACCAGCACCACCACCAGCACCACCAGCACCACCAGCACCAGCGTTGTCGACAATACCACCATTCAAAGCCAGCTGAACGCCACAACCTCTTCCGCAGCGACAAGTGCTGTGGCAAACACCACGGGCTTGGATGAGCAAAGCCGAAGCACCAGCTCCACCAGCTCCAGCGGGCGGACGACACAGGGCACTCTCGAAGAGAGCGTCACATCCACGTCATCCACATTTTCTACATCCCTAACTTCCACGGCGAAGGCCGGATGAGTTTCTTGCTGAGGCGTTTGCAGGCATGCTGCTGCTGAGGTAGAGACTTCAACAACGCAGCTGGTCACAAGCACAGCCGGGCTGGCGCCGACGCGCAGAGACTTCGTGTAGCCCAGATGCACTCAAACGATCCTTATGGTCCATCCCTGCCACCCCTCGATTCTTGATAAGGAAAGGCCAGATCTCAATGCGAATGCGCTCCGGTGAGTCGTTGGCATCACCACCACTTGATTGGCTGAAGACGTTCCTGACGCACTTTGCTGAGACACTGAACTTGCTGCGTGGGAGAACCATCAGATAGAGTTGATTGCTTATTTCGCCGAGGCAGTTGGGTGGCGGCCTTCTTCAGGCCGTGACAAAAGTTGCAAGCGTGCACCAGCTCAGAAGCGATCCGATATTGCAGTCATTATTGGAGGACTGCAGGGTAGGGATCTAGTCTGATTCAAGACGAGACACAACATGCACATGAAACAACGACATAATCCAGCGGAGCCTGACACAAAATTTTTCTGTACATATACAAGTATATAAACATGTTTCCAAAAAAGTTCTGGCCGTCGGAGCACCCTGCACAGGCCATTTCGTTCACTGCTCGCCGCCTTCGGCGCCTTGAGGGTACAAACACGACAGTCTCCTTTACTGCAGAGGCCAAGGAACGGGGGTTTTTTGAAGACACCCGTTGTGAGTACAGTAGTTAGTTACAGTCAGTTGGCCTTGCTTCTGTTTCACGTTGAAGTCCCCTAAGATTGCTGGAACCTTTCCCGATAGCACGCCAGAAAGACGGGGACAAAGGAAGTGGAGTCTGGCATGCGCAGTGTTTAAGGTGAAGCAGGGACCCAATCATGCTTGATGCTGCGAATCTTTCGGGACCCTGCTACCAAAAGCTTTTCCGAACGAAACTGCTTGGTGGGTATATGCCATCGTACTGCTACTTTGCGATTTCAGGGGCCTTGCACAGGCAGCAAAAACCTCGTTTAAAGACCCTCTGCGATCCCGAACGTGCAAGACACCACCACCAACAGGCAACCCCCAAAACGTCAGGATCTTCTACGACAGCCCTCAGTATTTCGAGTTTCAACCTGAGACAAATAAGATGAAGAGGTACTTTCCACGGAAGATGTCCGCCCCGCAGGTCCCTGCTGGCCGTGGGGCTGAGGTTGCCGCACGCCTTGAGTCCCCCGAGGTCTTCGCGGCAACCCTGACGGAGGCAGGAGAGATGGGCTCAAGGTCTTGCGCCACGACTGGTATGGTATGCGTGGAATCCCAGCATCATCCCCACATTGACCTCCCAAAACCGAAATCCTGAAACAATGAAGTGCCTGTTTTTGTAAGGGATTGATGGCAGAGATCCTTCTCAACCTGTCTGCAGGTAGACTTGCCAGAGACAGTCGAGGCACTGCACTTTCCGTAATTTGTTGTTCAGAGACTTCAGATGTTGCATTGACAATTGTCCACACTGAGGCACAAGTTATGCCAGACTACAGCGGTGGGTGCTTCCAATAGTAGTATCTATAGCAAAGGCACGGCTGCAGTAATTAGGATAGCCAAGGTCTAACTGAAAGCCATGCTCTCAAGGTCTGCAACATTGAGCCAGTCCGCCTTTACCTTCATGGATTCCAGAATCCGGTTCGCAATATCTTGATGCTGAGCATAACCCTAAGCTGGCCTTTAGGCTGCACGCCCTAGCCATGTCACACGTTTGGTCCTGACAACCCTGGGCACAAATCATAGAGAAGCTGCCCAAAAAGCAGATGATTCCCCGGTGAAGGACCGGCACCTACTGCTCATGTTTAGGCTCTCAGCTTTCTTAAGCCCTATGAATCTGAAATGTCATGGTTTCAACAACCAAGCTGGTCTGCTCCACGATCCTAGGGGCCTGGTCTCTTGGGACCCAAACAAACCTTCACAAGCCAGTGTTGGCGGCTATTGTGGAGCTAAGGCACACATACAAGGCATGTAGAGAGATCCAAGAAAAGACAAACAGGGAGGAAGATAGTTGCAGTAGGAACACAATCATAAAGACACTGGCACACATGGTGCAGGTGCTGTCAGTGGAGGTTTCCGAGGTCCTGGAAGCTGAAGCTTTGGAGGGCCCAGCAGAAGTTAATTCGGCAGACGGAGCTTTGATTGCCGTCCTGGTCTTCGCAGGCCTGGGGTCTCCCTCTTTGCGTGAATTGGTGAAGGTATCCATTCTCATGATTGTGCAGTAACGCTGCAAGATTCTGAAGTTTTTGCCACGGGCTTTCGAGGAACAAATTAGAGAAGGCCTGCGCACATGGGGCACTATCAAACTGCGGTCCGTCCTGGGGGGGGTTCCTTACCAGAGGAACTTCTGATTGTTGCGGTAACGACGCGGGAGCCGACTTGACCAGCACCCTGGAGGCCTGGCTGTGTTCAGTATCATCGGCATTCTGGCTTTCTGCTATTGGCGCAAGCATCTGGGAAGCAGCGGCGAAGATTTGCTTGAGATATTTTAGGAGAAGTGTGCCGATCTTCGCACTAAAGCCCAAGGGTAACTGTGCTGCGGGCCTGCTTGAATGCAAGTGGTGGAAGAAGTTGGGAACCCAGGCAAGGAACCCCGAAGAATGTCACAAGCGAAGGCTCGCGCAAAGAAAGGTATTGGAGCACGAAAAGAAGAAAATTAGAATTCAGTCTCTATTCTTCGACAATTCATATATGAAGCCCATCACCACTTGCCACTGCTTTGTATGCCACTGCTTCCTGATGTGAATGCCGGTGTTTTGTTTGATGCCAGGCTGTGGCGATCCAGAGGCTCAGGCTTGAGTCACGACTTATGCGCACACTTTATCTAAGAACGGGTCTAAATGGCTGGTGAGGTGCCTCCGATGAACCTACCAGGCTTTCCAGGAGCTTCTGATGTTGTAGCGAATCAAGCAAGCTTGTTTGTGGTCTGCGCAAGGAGACGCAGATTTCCGGAAGTCACGCTCCAGCAATGTGGTTGTGTCTCACCTTTGAGACCGTGGCCGTATGCGTTACGCACTGGGCCCTTTTAGTAATTGCCAGTCGGCAGGTTGCGCAGGAGTCGCTCCCCCGCCGGCAGCCATGTCTAGGCTTGTGGGCTCCACCCAAAGAGGAAAACCCATGTGCGTATGAGCTTCGAGCATCTGCAAAGTGACGCGTGGATTCCTACATCGTTACATTAGAAATTATGAACAAAGCACTGGAGGTTTTCTCGTGTCTTCTGGGTGGCATGGTGAGGAACTTCACGCATATGTGTGAAGCGCTGCGCCCACGGCAAACACTGCATTAAGCGACGCGAGAAAAAGACCGAAAGGCGTAACATAGACATGAATTTACATCAAGTACTGGGATGCTACGCGTGGCGAGTATAAAGCAATAATGGGGAAATAGTATCACGCATGATCTGCTAGAAGTCGCCTGCATCAACATGTCACAGCGAGCAGGAGCAATGGAGCGACTCCAGCTTGGCTCAATGGGCCCAACTGCTTACATGCTTCGCTTTACCAATATTTCACCCAACTCAGGCGAGCTTTACTTCAGATCCCCATCCAAAAAAAGTTTGAGTAGGTTTCTTATAAGTTTGAGTAGGTTTCTTATCTGCAATGACAGGCGGCATGTGCTTACGAATTGCTCTACCTAGAGTCAATGAGAATTGTTTACTGCAGTTTTCGGCGATATGTTGGCAACAAAGCTGTGCAAAGCATTGTTCCATGTCTACCAACCTGTTTTGCCACTTTTTGCTTTGTGGGGTGACTTTGTCAGGGATGCCAAAGCCCGAAACCCATCCAGTGAACCTCTTCTTCAGTCTCCTATGGCTGTCGCGAAGATCTTGGCAGCATCCAACCACTTCGCACGACTGGAGCTCCCACTCGAGGCTGTGGATGTTGCTGTGGTCAGAAGCCACTACAGGCGCCTCGCTCTGGCGGTGCATCCAGACAAGTGCCAGGACAAGAGCACTAATTAGCACGGATCGGTTCCAAACAAAAAGAGGGACTATTGCAAGGTTTGGTTTGGCTCTAGTGGCTCTGCCCTGTTTGACACCCCAACCAGGAGCCAAGAGCCAAGGAAGCATTCCAGGCCATCAGCGAGGCATTTGAGAAGCTTTCCTCCACAGTTGGTCAGGCGCAGTGCTTGAGAGAGGCAGGGCGCCCGTCCAAGGTAGCTAAGGTGACCAAAGCCAAGGTGCCAGAGGAGGATGAGAGGAATGCCCACTGGTGGGATACTAAAACCTGGGAAGAGTTCGAGGAACGTCTGCGACACCGGGAACGTGCTGAGGCTGCGCTGCGCCTGCGATACTGCAGTGGCCTGCGGGCCCGCTTTACAACGCGAAAGATGCGGGAGCACGTCCGCTCTGCAGAGCGGTCTGTGGAGCACTTAGACCGCAACGCAGGTTTGCCAGAGAGTCCGCTGTGGCCACCGGAGTCGACACAGGCAGCACGGGACGTGGAGGAGGAAGTGGCCAAAGCCCGACAGACGGAGCCTTGGCCTGGCGCAGCCAACGAGCTGCTGCCAGATTACAACGAGCGTGCTGAGCTCAACGACCCGCCGGTGGCTCTCCAGAGGCTGCTGGAATTGCTGACGCACCTGCGTGCTGTGCACCGCTACTGCCTATTCTGTGGATGCACCTATGACTCGGCTCAGGACATGGATGAGCATTGCCCTGGCATAACAGAAGAGGAGCATGATGAAGCCACCTCTGCGGGTCTCCGCGGCACTGAAAGCTTTCCGGCTTCAGAGACGCAGGAAGAGGATCCGCTAGAAGCCTACATGGCCTCCGTTGATGCTGAGGCCCAGAAGCAGCAGGGCAAGCGAAAGAAGCGAACCCGTTGACCAGAGGAAAAAGCAGTTGAAGGCTCTGCCATTCCATGAGATCTTTGGCGACTCCATCTTTGAAAGTGTTAGTGCCTGAAAACTGAAAGTGCCTTTCCGCAGGCTCAAGCAGGGCTGGGAAAGGTCTGTGATTCTTTGGAACAGCTCTCAGTGCGCTATCTTACCCCGGGTTGTGCATTCCTACCTAGGCCTACATAAAGGGGCCATGTTGGTAGAAGGGTCCAGTGGAGGGTCCGAGCTTGCCTGCTCCACTGCATCACTGACAATGGCGCGCTGGCTGCTGTTGTTGGCCTGCATCCCTGAACCTGCAGCAGCAGACTGGGCCGGGTTGCTTTTCAATTTGGTCTCAGGTTCACACTTTGCCTAAAGCGAGTTCTTCAAAAACTGTTTGCAGAGGCACTCCTGAACCTCATTCGTCATGGCGAGCGCTTTGCAGACAAGTCCATCACTTACCTGGCCCCAGACGGCCAAGACCGAGCACAGTACATTGCTCGTTGCACCACCGAACCTCGGCAGAAGCCCCGCCACAATGCTTTTTAGTATCTGCCAGTGTTTCCACAATGTTCATTATTGTTGTTAGATAGTGTTGTCCGTGTGGTGCATGGAGCTGCAAATTTGAGGGCGACGCACCCACCTTGGCCTTTCCAAGGGGCCCCCCCTCAGCCCTATTGGCAGGCAGGCGTCACTGGGTCCTCGTCGGCAAAGCTGTTTTGAATGCTTACTCTTTGTAAACAACGCCACATGGGGGAGAGAAGTTGCAAATTGCTATCCCCCTAAGTCTGAAGGTCAGGAGGCGACTGGCCACAACTCTACACGGCCTTGGGAGACCCTGCATCCTTTGGCAAAGACTCCCGGCAAAGTATGGGACCATGAAAAGTATCCAATAGAAAAGTCTCAAAGCTATGGGCATATAGGGATATATAGGGATATTAACCCAATAATGAAGAATCAAATGGAATTTGAATTGAACGCAGCTCGA